ATGATTAATTCTCAGCAGTTTGTACCCCAACCACCTGATTTCCACCCCCTCTGCACACTTGGTCCACAAATATATGTTGACCATCTACTGCTGGAGCTAGAATCTCTTCTAGGGCAGTTGGTAAGGGCAAGAAACTGAATATTAATTTTACTTAATGTTAAATTTAAAAACCAGTACTAAATTTAGTTATTGACCTAACTTAGGCACAACTTTTTCAGCTGTAAATTTTATGAAATCTAAACACAGTTTAAACATTTCCAATGAAAACTGAGCATGTAAATTGAACTGCAGACGTGGTGATCACTTTGTAAGGTGTATAAATGTTGAGTCACCATGCTGTACACCTGAAACTAATACAACATGTCAATTAAAATACATTTTTAAAAATATTAAAAATAAGTTCAAATATGAAGTAAATGTAAAAATGCACACTGATCTCAAACACTTATTACAGAAACAAGTGTAATGTTTCTGTAATTTAATATTTCAGTATTAAATTTTATATTGACTACATATTGAAATTATAGTTTGGATATATTGGATGGAATAAAACCTATCATTAAAATTAATTTTGCTTGTTTCTTTAAGTGATTACTAGAAAATTTAGAACCATGCGTGTGACTCCTTTCCACTGCCCTGGGATGATGCCAGTCTATAGAACTATGGAAGATCACGAGACACAATGGAGACAGACTCTTATGTTTGTCAAGAGAGTAAATCTCGCCCTGGCTGGTGTAGCTCAGTGGATTGAGCGCGGGCCTGCAAACCACACGTTCGAGGTTCGATTCCCAGTCAGGGCACATGCCTAGGTTGCAGGCCAGTTCCCAGCAGGGGACTCATGAGAGGCAACCATACATTGATGTTTCTCTCCTTCTCTCCTTCCCTTCCTATCTAAAGATAAATAAATAAAATATTTTTTAAAAAAAGAGAGTAAATCTCATGTTATGTTTTTTATCACAACAAAAAAGGGAAGCACTTGTTTTTTTTTTAGTCTGTTAATAACCCATTCCTTTGTTATTGATGTTTTCATAGAACAAAACTTGTAATCAAAGGGTGAGTTACAAGGTTTAGGAAAAGATGCCAGGGGTTGGTTCTGCTTCTCGCCAGTTGTATGTCCTCTGGTGAGATTTTTAACTTCTCTGTTTGATTTCTTTGTCTGTAAAATGGAAATCAAAGAATGTCCCTCACAGGAATATAATTGAGTGCTGAATAGGTAAAGTGCTAATATATAGGTAAATGTTAGTTACTATTTCAGTTACCTTGGCACACTCTGAAAATATGTTCCTAATTATATTTTTACTATTTCCATATTGAGTTTTATTTTCAGGTGAAATTCTCCACCTAACATTTGTTCAGATTTATAGAACTCTCAAGAACTCTTCCTATTCTCTTGAATTCATCCTTTAAGCCTCACAACAGAATTTACCATAATTGCTAATTGGCTTTAATTTAATATGCCTACATAAACACATATTCTAAATAATAATTTTGTGTTTGATTTTTGTTTTTCTCGGTACAGTGAAGGCACTTGAGTGTGTGTTTCTGTAATTTAATATTTCAGCAGAGTCAACTGAAATTGAAAAGGACAGAGAGTCAACACTTCACAGGAGCACCAGAATTGCACAGGAGCAAACAAAATAACCCATCAGTGAGCTCAGGTGCTGTCCAGTTCAAGGTTACTGAGTGCAATCCAGACAAAGAATTTCAGATAGCATCAGGATACCAACTCTTTTTTCACCTTTTGCCAAAAAAAAAAAAAAAGCACAAAAGTAGGAGGATTGTTCATTGGACATAATAGAAATGCTACCTTGAATCGCCATGGAAAGGTGAATATTAGAATATTAATGTTATAACACTGTGGCAGCCTGACCCCCATTCTGCATGGGAACAGGTCTTTAGCATAATAAAGCATCAAAGTTATACATCCCTGTGTAAGGGATCAAGGATATACTAGGCTGGAATCAGAAACTACTTCACCATCTCCACCCCCTTGACACCTGGGTGTCACCTGATGGAGCACTGCCCTGGAAGGCTGACAAAGGGGTGCAAAAGCAGAAGGGACTGTGGGCAACATCTGTGGTTAGGTCAAAGAAAAACCCAGTGGTAAGAAGACATGTCTCCTGCCATCCTCAGCAGTTTCTATATTCATGGCTGATGACCAATAAGGTGATTGTTTTATTCTAGTAAAGAAATGTAGACTTCCGGCCAAGATGGAGGCATAGGTGGAAATACTGTGCCTCCTTGCACAACCAAGTTTAAAGACAACAAAGTTTTAGTAACAAAAATGCAACCAAAACACAGTAAATTGAACTGCATGGAAGTCCTACAACAAACAAACCATTCATTCAGACTTGTAAGAGGGGCGAGGTCAGCATCTGGCATAGCAGTGTCACGCAGGAAAAAGTGGCTGGACCCAGGCACACAAGTGGCAGTTGGCAGATCCCAGGTGTGGGGTGGCAACGGGCAGACCCAGTGAGGGCACAAGGCGACTGGCTGACCGTGGTCACACATTCCCACACAGATAAACCAGGCAAAGGAACAAGCAGTGAGACAGACCATGCAACCCAGGGCCCCAGCACTGGGAATTAAAGCCTAAAAGCACCAACTGGAAAAACTTTTGGAGTTGAGGAGCTGGGAAAAGCTCCCAGGCTCCCAGAGAGTTTGTTGGAGAGACCCACAGGGTCCTGGAGGGTGCACAAGCCCACACACCCAGGACCCAGCACCAGAAGGGCCCAATTTGCTTTCAGGAGAGGGGACTGAAATCCGAGAAAGAGCATGGGACAAGCACCATTGCCCCTCTCTGACCCCACCCCCACATACACCATCACAACCCAGCAACCTGAGTGGCCCCACCCTAGTGAACTCCTAGGGCTCCACACCTCATATGTAACAGGTGCAAACAGACCAAAACATTATGGCTCAAGAAGAACAGCTCAAAGCCCCAGAGCCAATACTTCTAAGCGACCAAGAGATAGCCAACCTGTCAGATGCACAGTTCAAAACACTGGTGATCAGGACACTCACAGAACTGGTTGATTTTAGTCACAAATTAGAGGATCAAATGAAGGCTAAACTAATTGAAATGAAGGGAAATGCACAGGAAACCAATAGTGATGGAAAGGAAATTGGGACTCAAATCAAGGAAGTGGACCAGAAGGAACAAAGAAATGACCAAACAGAAAAGAATGAAGAAACAAGAATTCAAAAAATTAAGAGATGCTTAGGAACCTCCAGGACATCTTTAAATGTTCCAACATTCAAATTATAGGGGTACCAGAAGGGGAATAGGAACAGCCACCAGTGGAAAACTTATATGAACAACTAATAAAGGAGAACTTCCCCAATCTGTCAAAGGAACTAGACTTCCAAGAAATCCAGGAAGCTCAGAGAGTCCCAAAGAAGTTGGACCCAAGAAGAAACACACCAAGGCACATCATCATTACATTAGCCAAGATTCAAATGAAGGAGAGAATCCTAGAAGCAGCAAGAGATAAGGGACAGTCACCTACAAAGGAGTTCCCATCAGACTGTCAGTGGATTTCTCAAAAGAGACCTTACAGGCAAGAAGGGGCTGGAAAGAAGTATTCAAGTCATGAAATCCAAAGACCTAAAACCAAGATTGCTCTATCCAGCAAAGCTTTCATTTAGAATGGAAGGACAGATAAAGTGCTTCTCAGATAAGATCAAATTCAAGGAGTTCATCATCACCAAGCCCTTATTATATGAAATGTTAAAGGGACTTATCTAAGAAAAAGAAGATAAAAAAGATGAACAGTGAAAGGACAGCAAACTCACAGTTATTAACAACACACCTAAAACAAAAGCAAACTAAGGGGATAGGTAGATCAGGAGCAGAACCATAGAAATGAAGATCACATGGAGGGTTAGCAACAGGGGAGTGGGAGGAGGAGAAGGGGGGAGAAGGTACAGAGAATAAGTAGCATAGATGGTAGATAGAAAATAGACAGCGGGAGGGCAAGAATAGTATGGGAAATATAGAATCTAAAGAACTTGTGACACATGGACAAGTTCATGGGGGGAATCGGGGAGGGGTGTGCAGGGTGGAGGGGAATAGAGGGGGGGAATGGGACAACTGTAATGGCATAATCAATAAAATACACTTTAAAAATTTAAAAAAGAAATGCATCAGTGCACTAGGCTTCAAAGCATAACAATAGGATAATGATATTAACACACACCATTTATTGTGCTTTCCCTGCCCAGACTAGACTAAGTCCTCTGCATTCCTTACATTATCTAACCCATGAGATGATATATTAAATATCTACTGCTGCATAACAAATTACTCCCATTCTTAGCAATTTAAAACAATTAACGCTTATCTTATGCAGTTTCTTTGAGTCAGGAATCTGAGAATGGGTGAGCCTGTGGCTCTTGTTCAGGGTCACTTATGAGGCTATGGTCTTTGAAGGTTTGCTTAGGGTTGGAGGATCCTCATTCACATGCCTGGTAAGGTAGTGCTGGCTGTTGGCAGGTGGTCTCAGTTCCTTGCCTCACGGGCTGCTCGAGCTTGAGGCTGCCTGAGTGTCCTCACAAGGAGGCACCTGACTTTTTCCAGAGCAAGGGATTCAAGAAAAGCAAGCGGTCATGTCTTCTGACCTTGCCTCAGAAGTCTCATTCTGTTACTTCCACAATATTCTGTCAATTACACAGGTTGGCCCAGTTCTGTGTAGAAAGAAACTATAAAAGGCATGAATACCAAGATTGGGGATCACTGAGGAACATCATGGAGTCTGATGAGCTGAAGAGAATATGATTATTCCCATCACACAGTAGAGAAAATCAAGGCACAGAAAAATTAAGTCAAATTATTTCAAAGACACCCAGCTGGTGTGTGACAGAGCTGGGGTTTGAAGCCTAGTCTCCCGGGCACCACCACCATGCAGAAGCAACCCTGAAGCCTGAGGTGCAACTAGGTGAAAATGTAGGGAGGGTCGGGTCTTTAGCAATACATCATCTCCATATTTCATTGCGTGTTCAAAAATATGGGACGCTTCACAGATTTGTATGTCATCTTTCTGCAGAGGCCATGCTAATCTCTGTATTGTTCCAATTTTAGTATACATGCGGCCAAAGCCAGCACTCCTTCAATCTTTTTAAAAGGCAAGTTTATAAGGACAATTGCTCTCTGGCAGGTGATGAGTCAGAAAATAGGAACAGTTGAGTCATCACCCAATTTGACAAGCTCTGGAAGTTACCACAAAGACGTGAGGTGAGGGAGGAATGTGAACTTGTCCATCAGTCAGAAGCATCTGGGTTGCACTTACCACACACATGCCAGACACAGGCACCCCCTTCCTAGACTGTGAGGGCCTGGGAGCCACATGGTGCTCAGTGGGGCCTCTGCCAGGCACCACCCCTGCATTCCAGACCAGTCTGAGGCTACTGGTTTTTTACTGTTTTTTTATTGTAAGGTTATTAAACAATTTTGAAAAACTGTCTCCTCTACCTAAACATTATCAAATTGACATCTAAATATTTTCATCATAACTTTAAATGGTAAAAAAAAAAAACACCAAGGTAATTTCTGGCATATTGGACAAAATGGATAGTTGCATTAAAATGTTACCTCATTTTATAACTAATAACCTTAATCCACCCAGAGCACACTTGCCTTTTCTGTTCGTCCCTCTCAGCCTGTCCTTCAGTTAAACACCACTCCCCACCCTAAAAAAAAGAGCTCACCTAGCTCTACCAAGAAACCTCACAGGAAATAAATAAACACATGCATGAACACTTATTTATCCTTTCTTTATCAGCTACTAAATTTTGTGTTTTTAACCAACCCACTGATCTTGACTTACATTCAGTAACTGGCTCTGCAATGTATTGTATAATGGATAATGGACTCTCGCTGATGCTAGTGAAAAACTCTTGTGTAGATGAAACCCCAACACAAGACCCGGCATTGCTCGTCTTGGGTACATGCTGGTATGAAGTGCCCATTCAGTGTCTTGCCCACTTTTATGCACATGTATTTTCCCACTCAGTGGTTTGCCTCTTTACTCCTTGAATAGTCTTTTGGTGAACAGATACTCTGTCTTTTGATGTAGTCCAATTTTTCAATGTATAACCTGTTTAAAAAAGCTTTTCTAATCCCAAGGATATAAAGTTATTCTCCTATGTGTTTCCTGAAAATCATATCGCTTTACTGTTCACATTTGCACCTACCATCCACCTAAAACTGATTTTTGTGGAAGGTGGGAACGTAGAACACAACCTCCTGGTATCTGAGTGTGGTGGTTGTAAGTCGGTGCCAGCTGCTGCCTGGGATTGCCTACAACAGAACTGGGATGGGTGTGGTGTCCTGGCCTCCCCTGAGTTATCAGGTGTACTTTTGGGTGCTTCGGAACTAGAATAAGCATACAGGGACTCTTATGTGTTTTTCTTTATTTGCCAGTTTCTTGGAGGAGAACTGATATTTTGGAACTGACTTGTCTTTATTTGCCAGTTTCTTAGAAGAAAAACTGAGTGTTATGTGAACCTAAGAGCCAGAAAAGAAAAACCCTCTTATGGCAGAACTCAACTTTCCCTAACTCATTGCCCGCACTATGTGCATATAAGTTTTGAATCAGTAAGATCTGTCCCCTCCAGGAGGCAATTTTGTGACCATCAGTCACCCATGCAACAAAAGTGGCAGAACCTCTGTCCTAAGATTTCTATATGTAGACAGCCAAGTCTCATAGATATTTCCATCTCAGCAACACACCCAATACCATTCTCCTTCCTTCCTCAACACTGCACTGGCTTGGACGGGAGGGATGCACCCCTGGCTATTCTTAAGAGAAACCATAGACTTATGTATATAGGACAATACTTGGGAATTGATGAAGAAGTAGGAGGGGCTCTGGCTTGTGAATCAGGAGACGTCATTTCTAGTTCTGAGACCTGGGCAAGTCACCTAATGTGTCAGAGCTTTGGTTTTCTTAACTGTGGAATGAGGGATTGGGATGGGCAGTCTCCATGGCCCCTTCTGCAAGATTCTGAGAGATTCGAAACAGCATTAGAGTCAAGCATGAGGACAAATGTTTCTCAAGTAGAAATTAGGCTTTGGGGGACCCCGCCTCCAAGTGTTGTGTTTCGATGATGACTGTTCCTGAAGCCAGTAGTAATGTCCTATATACAATTAAAATAATAAAATCTGAGAGCCATAAAGGAATTCCCAATTCATCTTTTCTTTTTGATGGTGAAGAAACAGAGCCAGAGTCGTCATGAGCTAATTCTTGTTTGATTCTAAGTCCTTCTACTCTCCGTCTGTTGCTCTTAGAACTAAGCCAGCTGGCTTTATTAAACTGCATTTTCCAAATGGGTAAATTGGATGATGAAAATATCACATTTAAAGTTCTCTAGCTGTGCTTTGGCATTTAATAAAAGGAAAGAAAGATGTGAACTATAGTGTTTTTGCCTTTTTTTTACCTTTGTACCCACATTATTTGGGAAATGACAGAGAGCATTTGCTTTGTGTCCACTGCACCTCCTAGACAAGGGCAAGAAAACTAGACCCTTCCCCAGTCCAGAGTAGGGACCTTCCAGAAGGTTGCAGACCATTTCCCCAAAGGCAAACTCAGCGTAAAAAGATTCATCTCATCACCTTTTCCTGGTGGAAGCTTTGGTGGGATTCCAAGATCTACACCAGAGAGTTTTCCTTCAGCTATACCCCAGGAGGATAGGAATTATGGGCAGAAACTTCTGACATATACTTCTGAATTTCCCAGGGTGAAGTTGAGTGGTCTTATTGCAGGGGACATTGATTTCCTTGTACAGCAATCAAAGGAACAGATTTTTCTCCACTCACTGAGCAGAGCCACTGTATTGGTTTCCCATTCTTCCATCACAAATTACTACAAATGACGTGGCTTAAAACAATGTACATTTATTCTTTTATAGTCCTGGAGGTCAAAAGTCTGAGTCTTACAAGGCTAAAATCAAGTGTCGGTATGGTTATGTTCCTTTGGGATTCTTCAGAGATGAGTGTTTCCCTGTGTTTTCTGGCTTCTTGAGGCCTCCTGCCTCCCTTGACCCATAGTCTCTTCCTCCATCTTCAAAGTGCTTTGAAGACTCCAGTCTTTGCTTCCACATCCCATCTCCTTCTAACTCTTGACTTCTTCCCTGTTATAGGGCCTCAGGTGGTTACATTGAGTTCACCTGGATTAGTCAGGATACCCTTTCCATCTCAGGATCTTTAATCTACTGACACCAGCAAAGTCCTTTTTGCCACACAAGGTAACATAGGTTCCAAGGATTAGAACATGAACATCTTTGAGGGGGTGGGGATAGATTTTTCTGTCTACCACACGCACTACATAGACTTAGTATTTAGAGGGGAAGAAAATATGCCACAGAAAGTCGTTACAACTACTCACATGGAAAGTTACTCACTTCTTTGTCAGCTCTCAGTTGCCCAGCTGTACAATGAGGTGATGTTAGAAGCTGTTTCTAAGTCTCTTCTAATTTGGACACTCTGAGATTCTAGAACCTTGCTGCTGGGACAATAGCCACTAGCCACAAACAGCTAATGAACACTTGAAATACAGCTGGTGCTGTGTTGCAATGATAATATTTTGGAGATGTTGGGTTAAATAAGAGTTACTATTAAAATTCACTTTCTTTTCTTATTTTTTCAATATGGATACTAGAAACTTTTAAATTACATGCATGGCCCACTTTAAATTTTTATCAAACGGCACTGTCATGGGCAACCTGGCCCAACCTTCATGATAAGAATCTGCACTAAGACGTCCTGAGAAATGGGCATGTAGCCAATCATGGCAGGTTCGTGGTATGCATGAAGCACTCGCCTTCCCGCCCCTGTGACAGCACACTCCGACCTCACTCTTTCCACTGCATCAGGCTTTGGCCCCAGGGTCCTCCTACAACACAGCGTTATGGGTGGTCACTAGCGAGTGATCAGAGTTCGCCCTTGTAACATGTGGAACTCATTTTGTTATAACTAACGGAGAACCCCACCCAAGGAAAACTGCTGGCTCATGTTATAAGGATGCAGAGTGGAGTTGGCTCCAAGCTCAGATAGGTCAGGACTCCCCTTTCTCTTGGTCCTGCCTTCTTCTATGTCAGCTCTACTCTCACGTTTCACATGGGGATCCCTGGCTACCCCAGGCCCTTACCATCGTGACACCAAATCTCTCAGTGGAGAAAGAGACTGCTTCCCCCAAGGCTGGTGTCGAACTCTTCAGAACTTGATGGACAAAGACTCGTGACACTGAGTTTCTTGAATCCAGGCTTTGTGCATGAAGTTCCATCTGACTGGGACATTGTCCCCAACACAACTATTCCCTGGTCTTCTTTGTCTTAAGCCAACTCATCCTGCCATTCCTTGCTTGCAGGAAACTTTTCAGGAGCTTTTCTCTGTCACTCTGGACTAGCTTTTAAAACCTTGTTTTATACCTCTCGTCACCCCTGCATGTCCCCCTCATTATGATTTATTTAATACATGTTCTTCAACACCATGAAGCTAGTGACAGCATTGTTTTCTGGCAAATTCCCAACATCTAGCTAAGTGCCTGGCAGGAACATAGCTCTCAAAATTTCATGCACTGAATTGTGTAAATAGAGAAAAAGGAAAAGCGAGAGAAAATCCATAGTTGACAGGAAGAATCTAGTCTAAATATGCTCCAGGGAAAAAAAAAACAGTTAAGGAAGCAGTGTTGGAATGCTCCAGTCTTCCATTTGGAGCTCATGCCAGTTCTGAGGGTGGCTTGCTTCTGCTTTAGGAACTTGAGGCTTCCATCGCTTGCACCCCCTCTCCTCCGGGACCAGCTCCCTGCTGGGCTTTCAGCTTGTCCATGGGAAAAGCCCAGGCAGACTGGTTCACAGACAGTCCAGCCAAGCTCTTCCATTAGCCAGGTGCACAGCCTTGAGGATACTGCTCAGCTTCTGTGGGCTTCACTTCACTATCTGTCAAAGAAGCAGATCACACACAAGGATCTCATGTGTTCCTTCAATCCCAGACACCAGAATCTAATTTGGACAGAACGCTGGCAGGATCTTCCATTAAACCTCAAGCTGGTTAATAGAAATAAAACCAAGCCTTGCAACACTCAAAAGGAGACATTATTCTTTCTT